CCAAAGTATGGAAAGAGCCCAAATGTCCATCGAGGGATGAATGGATAAAGAAGATGAGGTGTATATATATACAATGGAGTACTACTCGGCAATCAAAAAGAATGACATCTTGCCATTTGCAACTAAGTGGATGGAACCGGAGGGTATTATGCTAAGTGAAGTTAAAGACAAAAATCATATGACTTCACTCATATGAGGACTTTAAGAGACAAAACAGATGAACATAAGGGAAGGGAAACAAAAATAATATAAAAACAGAGAGGGGGACAAAACAGAAGAGACTCATAAATCTGGAGAACAAACTGAGGGTTACTGGAGGGAGGGGTTGTGGGAGGGGGGAGGGGCTAAACGGGGAAGGGGCACTAAGGAATCTACTCCTGAAATCATTGTTGCACTAGATGCCAACTAATTTGGATGTACATTTTTAATTAAAAGTAAAATTTAAAAAAATAGAAAAAAATTTGCTCTCTTGTCTTCCATAAAGAAGTAGAAGTCTAGGCACTGGATCATCTTCCCAAATATCCCCTGAATCCCTGAAAACGCAGGCCGAATGCACTAAAATGTACAGGACATCAAGTGTTATGGATCAGTACGAGCTCAGATTTCCGGGGCCACGAGGAACACGCAAGGAGCACAGAGGCATACAATCCCCACTGTATCTGGAGCACGACCTCATGCCGCTTGTAGCGGTCACCTGCGGCCTGGCGTGGACAAGTCTAACACAACGTCCGGGTGTCTACACTTTGTTGAGCCTCCTGCATCATTTGCGGGCACAACAGAAATCCTAACTCAGAAAGCGACATTTAATCCCCCAACACCACCCAACACAACCCAGGATTCCCAGTGAGTTCTGAACGCAAAGTGAAAAAGTGACTCAGACAGCTCTTGCAGAGAACATCGGTTCCCCGGCCGTTGGACGCATACTTAGGAACACCAAAGATCTGTTTGCATTCTGACACACTAGAAAAATATGTGAGTAGAAAAAAAACTCCAGAATACGAGAATTTGGTAAAGTCATCAGCTTATCTATGAACAGGATGCATCATCTCCATGTGGTCCTGTAGAGGGTTTGCTAAGAAAAGATCGATTTTAAAATATCTAATGGCTGTGAATGCTCCTGGTCCCCAAGCTACAAATGTTGCTCTACCCTCTTTGATAAAAAAGCACAAAATACTATCAACCATGATTTTTACAAACTCTTCAGATAGGTTTTCAATTATCTCATAAGCCTCAGACAAGCCTCACAGCCTTCAAGTCAAACTTTCCTTTAGGAATTACAATCCATTTTTTTTCCTGGGTTGGCTTTTAAGCCTTTGCTTTCATTTGCGTGTATTCTAAACTCCTCCAGACCCTGATATGCTCAGGTATGACAAAAGGGACAAGCAGGAAAAGGGATGTGGGCGCTGCCTAAGGACAGGGTGATTTTGCAGAGAGGCCATGAGAGGGACAGTGGCCTTTTACCAGCCAGCACACTCACACTCTCTTCTTACAGCAAACACAAGAAAGCACTTAAGGAAGTCGTCTGGGGCTAGGGGCATAAAAAGGTCATTAGTCCAGCAAGAACACTCAACCTCTGTTTTCCAGATCTTATCACCGTAGTACAATTTTACCTACCTTTTGATATTGCTCTAAGAGAGCAGAAAGCACACCCCTAAATTTTCAGTATTTGGGGGCAGCAGTCAACTTTATGTGCCCTATATGAACAAAAGGAGCCACATATCAGCAGGTATTTTAACCCAAATTTTATGGGAAATCATACCTGAAGGGACAACACATACATATAGAGAGAGAGAGGGGGGCATTATCCCAAAAGCACATGTTTACCTTCTTTTTAAAAAAATGTTGACATCACCAAAGGGCTACAAGCTATAGAATTTTATTTTCTAGTAATAGTGAGGGATCTGCACAGAAATATCATCCTACTTTTGTCCAGAAACATGCATTTGACAGACAACTAACACAAATCAATAGGTAATGTCTATACCTGAAGCTTCAGAGATGGTTATGAATCACCTGTCACTCACCTGGGACTTTAATTTCAGTGGTGTGGGGGCCCAAATTGCATTTGATTAGTCACAACCTTGATAAGAAATGATTAAATGACTCTTGTCTATAAAAAAAAAATTCACTTCAAAGGGTAAGTATTGACTACAACTGTGGTTATCTGGGAGAGCTGATTCAAAACAGAAGGTTTAAGGAAAGGGCCACCATTGGATTCAGGTGATAGCATTCCAAGGCGACCACTCCTAACAGGATACCAGTAACCCAAACCTGGATGCTCCAGTATGTTCCTTTCTGAAGTCAGCTGTAACCCAGAGTCTGTTTCCATAAAGACATTATAAGTCATGTGGCCTCACATACTCATTTGATCACATGCGCACCTGGGCTGGTGCTACATAATGACACTGGAAGTGGCAGAGAACTTCAAGGGAACTTAAGCAATCGAAAGGAGACCTTCTAAAATGAGTCATTT